AAAAAAAAAAATCAAAATTGCGGTTCTGGGTTTTACTTTTTAATCTGTTATTTTTTTTTGCCTAAATTAAACTTAGTGCTTATAGATCACTGTGAAGATTTTTTTGCTCTTTTATATCAGCTCTTAGTCAAGTATCAAGTTTTAGCACAATAACGATGCCACTGAACTGTCGGTCTGCTTAGATAAGAATTGCTTTTTCAAAATAGATTACGCAAAGTCTTTTTGCTTCATCCGAAAAAAAATTTTTTTTTGATTAATGACAAGTAAATTGTTTTTTTTGCGGATTATTCAACTTTAATAAGTTTTAAACTGTCTTTTTTAGAAAATTTAGTCAATCTGTCATTTTGCATGAATATTTTCAGTTTTGTCAATAAACACTTTTAAGCCGTTACCACAGTTTTACATTAAACATTGAAATAAATTGATAAACCTGTATTTATTTGGTTTTTTTTCTGTTTTTTTTTCAGATATTTTTTACCTTAATTAATTGCATGTTATCTTTAGTGCTGCAGGTTAGTTACATTTTTTAATGAAGTCAATTAAGCAAAAATTAGTCAATAAATACTTTGAAAACTTTGATGTTATTGGGGTAAATTTTGGTAAATAATACTGACTGATATGTTCAAAAAAGTTTTTGCTACAGATATGAGACAAAAATATGTTGTAATGCGATCTGAAAAGTTTCTTTACTTTGCTTTTATCTAGCGCTTATTAAATTTTTTCGTTGATACCTTATTAAAAGTACATAAAATTATTAAACTTTACAAATTGGTCTTATTAAGACTTGTGTAAGTTGATCTAATCAAACGAAATCACTGGGAAAGTGCTAAATGTTTTTAAATTTATTTAATACTTTTTTGGATAACAAATTTTTGAGTTCCACCTTCTAAAATTGACGATGCAAAGGTTGACAACAAGAAAAGACACCAGAATTTTGAACATTAGTTCCAACTTTACAGTTACTTGTCAAATCAACCTTTATCATTTTTTCTTATGGTCATCATATATAAACACGAAAAAGTCAGTACCTTTTTTTGTATCTAATTCAGGAAATGTAAGAATAATAAAACAGAGCTTTAATTGAATTGTAGTTTATAAAAATACTAATAACAAGTGTTAAAATACAATTTTAGACGACACTCATAACAGGTCGATGTTTGATCTTCGACGATCGTTGGATCACCGTTTACTGATTTCTTAAGTCAAAAATAAGGCATAGTCAAAGGTCGATTTACACAAACATTTCCTGATTTAGTTATTCTTTTCCACTTAGCTACTAAATTTAGATGTACACATTAAGTTTTAATTTAGTCTTATTTCAAGATCTACGATGATAATAAATGACCTTTAAAGTGGAACAAATAACAATTTAACCTGTTGTACAATAAGGTATCTTGTTGTACTAAGATAGTCAGTATTTACACCAGTCATTTGTCCTCTCAATAATAAAGCCTAGCTTAGAAGGTAATACTGCTTTGGATACATGCAGAAAAGTTTAGACAATCATTAATCATTCTTATGGTTAATAATATTTCTTAAAAATTAACGTTCTAAAAAATGTTACCATCAATGTAGGTTAAAAAAAGTTTAAAAAATGCTAAATTCAAAAAAATTTAGTGGATAATAAAAGCTGTCTAGAATTTTCTTACTTTTTTTTTTATTAAGTCTTTGTCTCTTATGCTTTTATTTAGACCACTTTAAAGATGTACCTTAAATATCTATGCAGTGTTGCGTGTTAGTTTATATGTTCAGATTGTGTCACCTAAAATTTTAGACTTTTTTTTAGACATTTTAGACTGAAATTCTGTCTGATTTTGATCTCAAATGAGTTTATATAAAAATGAGGTGCTGCTTAATCTGAAAAAACTTATAAGATCTTTTTCAAGCAGACATTAATTTAACTAATTCTATTTTTAAAACTCAGAAACTTTACATTTTGTTTTCTATTACTATTAATTTGCTTTAAGAACCTAAATATTTCATAAATGAAATAATTGAATTTTTTTTAACCAATCGTCAGTGTTAAGCATAAGTTTTCAAATAAGCAAAGTGAAGTCTCATAAAAAAACTTTTATTTTTTTTCAGGTATTTTTTTTGCATGACTTTTAGCAGTTTCTAAAATTTGGTTTCAAAAAAAAAAAAAAAAAGACTGAAAAACACAAAACCATCATTTGGGCTATTTCTAAGTAATGATAAATTTTTTTTTTGTAGCCAAAAATATCATATCATATCAATTTACTGCAACTACAAAAAACCGTTAAGCTATAATGTTGAATAAACGTTATGTTCACATTAACTTTTGCCGTTATTAAAGTCGTTTGATCAAAATTTTATGCTTACTGAATTCGCATACCAAAATGAATATAGGAAAGACTGCAACTGTTTAACATAGTTTAAAATTCAAAGCAAAAAAATAAAGATTTTTTTTTAAAATTTGTTATAGAAGAAAAAGGTTAAACAGAAAAAAAAAATAGTTAAAAAATTTAAGACAATTTATTTTCGTAGAATAAAAAATTGTCGATTACCAAAGGTGTCATTAAGAAAAAAATTTTTCAATATTTTTAACAATTTCTTCATCTCGTATCTTCCAATTGCTTCTCATTTTTTATGATAATTCTGTAATTGCAAAAATTTTACAGGAATAGATAAAGAGAAAAAGTTTAAGCAACTTATTTTTGCTTGACAACAGCAGTCAATTGGTACCATTATAACGGTACATAGATTAAACTTTTGGATGATTGTTTCGTTGATCTTTGATCTTTTGCAGAAATATTTACAATTTTCTTTTCTGTTATCCAAATATACACCAGCAAAAGTTATTTTCTGTTCAATACTTTTATTGTATTGCTATTAAAGTTATTGTATATAATTTGTTATCCTAAATGAATACTAATCTTTAACAATTTTTTGGCTTTTTTATTTTTTTTTTAATCATTTAATTTTTAGAAATCTAATCTTTGTTAATTTTACACAATTTTGTTGTAGAAGAAGTAAAAAATTTTTAGGTTTAAAAAGAAAGAAATAAAAGAGTAACAAAAAACATATATATA